GACTTAATGTGGGTTTTATATGAGGTTTTATTAAAGTAAACTACTGGTGTTTATTTTATATTTATCCGAATGAAATATGAAAAAATTTATCTGATTAATGACATGGAGGATGTTTTTCTTTTACAGATTCAAATGGATTTGATAATAATAAAATATATATTTCCACTGAGAACTGATAATGAACAGCTTTTGCTATGTTTTTATTCCCTGCACTACAGCAGACAAACTTGCACAGAACACAGTAAAATCATCCTCAGATGATTTGCATTTCTCWTGTTTTAGATATTTCTAACAGTGGAGGTGGCTCTGGCAGAGTGGTTAGGGGAGTTGTCCTGGAACTGGAAGGTCACTGGTTCGAACCCCCTTCCAGCTGTTTCAGTTGTTGTGTCCTTGGGCAAGGCACTTCACCCCTAATGCCTCTGATGTGTGTCCCATCAGTGTATGAATGTGAATGGCACTGATTAGTCTCCATAGCTGATTGTATATGTTAGCTTTGTAGAGACCTAATAGAGTGCTGTGTGAATGGGTAAATGAGGACACAGATTGTAGTGTGGAGCACTATGAGTGTCCTGGATGTAAAGAAAAGCGCTAAATATGTACAGTCCATTTACCATTTGGAGTTGTTATATTGCTGATGAGAATCAGCAGATTGGTTTGTTTTATTGGCTTATTTTTCTTTGCATAAAAATTAAACTACAAATATCTAAAGCACACATTTACATGAAGGGAAAAATAACGAGTATCAAAGGTTAGAGTACTGAAGGAAATGTTTAAGTAACTTCAGAATTCATCTGGCTGCAAATGAATTCTTGGTCGTAGTTTTTGTTTTGTTTGTTTGTTTTATTAATTTTTTATTTTGCACAAATGCAGATTATTGTTGTTTTGCAGGAGATGAAAGCTCTGAAGGCCACATTTCTGTTTGGCAGCAGAGTTCAGGAGCGTGGGCTGGATGGGGGTGCACAGACTCACAACACATGCTTACTGTCTGCCGTATTGATTTTGTGTGCAGCTTTGCATGACAGTGTCTTCACACTGTGTGTGTGTGTGTGTGTGTGTGTGTGTGTGTGTGTGTGTGTGTGTGTGTGTGT